CCCGTTTGAGGAGTTTAGACTCTAGCTCAGGTAGGATTTAGGGTTTAGGGCCTGGGCTTAGGGAACCCTAAACCCTAAACCCTAAACCCTAAAGCCTAAACCCTAAACCCTAAACCCCAAACCCTCCGGGCGGGCCTGTCTACGACTTGGCGCTGTTGTTCGAGACCCGCGTCTGGAGTTCGTCATCGGGCTCACAATGCCTGAAGACACAAACTGAAAGACAGAACACTAAACCCTAAACCTGAGACTCCATAGAGCCGCAGTTCTTTCAGCATACGTCTCATGCAGATATGGTAGTAACTGTAGCTATAGGGGGATATTGTTATCTTCAATGGTAAGTAAAAGCGGCAGGTATGCTCTTATCCGTCATAGTAACTATAGGGTGATATAGGCCATGACCTGGTTCTACTCAAGAAGAAAAAACAACTTGTGAGGCCTGGCTCTCAGCAGCTGGATTTCAGGCAGGAGCGATATGAGCGATGCGTTTTGGACTATGGGGTACCTTTGCTTTGAACCCCAACGGCAACGCGTGGAATCACAAGCCGTCCCAGACCCCCTACAGGATCTAAAAATGGAACCCCCCCAGAGTGACCCCCATTACTACATTTGGGGAAACTAGGGGATTATTGGGAGGTTCCATTTTTTGGGTCCCTAAACCCTACGTAAACCCTAAAACCTAAACCCCTAATCTCTAAACCCTAAACCCCTAATCCTTAAACCCTAATCCCTAAACCCTATATACCCCTAAGGGGGTTCCATTTTTTGGATCCTCTAGGGGGTCTGGGCTATCACTGGAGCCGGCCTCCTTACGTGACATCGGTCGAGATTGGCAAGCAGAAGCTGCATGCCCAGAATTAAGGTTATATCGGGATTAGATTAGGGTGATATATTGTGGTAATATTAGGGTAAGGTTGGGGTAATATTGGGGTAATATTAGGGTCATATTAGGGTTCTATTGGGGCAATATTGGGGCTATATTGTGGTAATATCGGGGTTATATTGGGGTAATATCGAGGTTATATTAGGATAATATTGGGGTTAGAATAAGTTATATTGGGGTAATATTAGGGTTAGATTAAGTTATATTGGGGTAATATTGGGGTTATATTGGGGTAATATTGGGGTTATATTAGGGTTCTATTGGAGCAATATTGGGGCTATATTAGGGTAATATTGGGGTTATATTGGGGCTACATTAGGGTAATATTGGGGTTATATTAGGTTATATTGAGGTAATATGGGTGTTATATTAGGGTAATATTGAGGTAATATCAGGGCTATACCGGTGGAACCTGCACATCATGCTCAAACCCTAAACCCTAAACCCTAAACTCTAAACCCTTAACCCTAAACCCTAAAACCCTAAACCCTAAACCCCTCAACCCTAAACCCTCTAGAATCATCCTTCTCACCATCTTCGTAGCCGTACGGGTTCTCGCTCTGCCATTTCCAGGCGGTTTCGCACATCTCCTGACAGGTGACTGGGGTTTAAGGTTTAGGGTTAAGGGGTTTAGGGTTTAGGGGTTTAGGGTTTAGGGGTTTAGGGTTTAGGCTTTAGGCTTTAGGGTTTGGTCAAGAGCCACTGGTATGACCTAGGTGGACCCCCCACCCAGCAATAGTGACTATAAGGGGAAGGGATCATATGAGGGTCCTATTACATTCCTGTTATACCACTATTACATGGTGGGGGGCGTCCTCCTAACCCTATACCCCAAACCCTATACTATTACAGGGTGGGGGTTCCTCCTAAGGTATGACTAGGGACCCGTTCTTCGCCAACCCTTGACAGCTCGCCCCAAGTCCTTGAGCCCACGCTTGGTCTCCCAGCCGAAGTCAGCTTTTGCCTACGATTACCCAGAGAGCCCAATATACCTTGATTACGGAATATACCTCAAATTCTATTAGGACCCTTAATATGTTTTAAGGAATATTCCTTAATCAAGCTATATTGGGCTCCCTGGGAATTACTGCAACAGAGTCCAGCTTTGTCTTTGGGCTGCGAATGAACATAGGATGTGTAGGGTTATATAGGGGGACATATAGGGCTTATATTGGGGGATATAGGGGCACCTAGGGATATATATATATATAGAGGGATAATGGAAAATAAAATGGAAACTACAGGGATTGTATAGGGGCTACATAGGGATTATAGGGTAGATATAGGGATTTTATAAGGATAATGGAAAAGAAAATGAAAACTACTATGTAGCATATTGGGGTTATATTGGGGTAATGGAAAAGAAAATGGGGATCATAATGCAGCAACCCTAAACCCTAAACCCTAAAACCCTAAACCCTAAACCCTAAACCGAAGCATTACAGAGGCCTTGGACGCGTTGGCCACGACGGTTCCCAAGTCTCCGGCTCTTCGGTCCACCACCTGGCAAAGCGCGGCTAGGGGTGAAGGTGAACCTGCATTTGGTTATGGGTTTAGGGTTTAGGGTTTAGGGTTCATTGTGGCTGTAATCGGGTAATGTTAGGGTCATATAGGGGTTCTAATGGGAGAATGGAAAAGAAAATGGAAACTACTATCATAGGTTATATACGGATTATGGAGTGAAAGCTGCAACTGAGTGGCGTTTTGTTCGGTGGTTGAACCAAGTAAAATGATATTCCCCATATAAAATACTATACCCCAAAGGAGGATATGCTCTTACCCACTGGGGACTATAGTATCCCCAGATAAAACACTCTTCAACTGGAACTCAGTGTCTTCTCCACCTTCCCGCGTACACATACAGAAAAAGCAGGAAATCGTAGGGTTTAAGGTTTAGGGGTTTAGGGTTTAGGGTGTAAGGAGTTGCTTTCTGCATCCTTCCAACCCGGCCTTGTAGGCTATCGGCTTGCCAGATGCTTCCTGCGATAACCCCACATTAGGGGGGGTGGGGGGAGTCCCAGAATAAGCGGGTACCTTTTTTAGGTGGGTCTCCATTTGAAGGATTGTAGTATATCGTGGTCTGATAAGTATCGTAGTATATTGGGGCCTACCTTGGGGTCCCCATATTTAGGTATGCTGCTCAGGACAGGTCGACTGACAGCGCTCGGAGAAAAAAGCTTCCGTCAAGGGATGAGTAAAAAAAACTTGGGAACATCTGGGTTCTTCAAATCCTGTTTAAAATGATCATTATTAAACTGTATTGGGCCCAGGTATACGTAGAAATGTAAGATGTTGTTCAACAAGAACCCAGAAAACTTGGGAACATCGCAGGAATGGACATTTGCCTCGAAGGCCTTGACCATGTCTAGGACCTGGGCTCCAAACGATCAAAGCCCTCATTTGCGAGGCGCATGGAAGCTATTGCCACACGGTTTAGGGTTTCGGGTTTAAGTTTAGGGTTTAGGGTTTAGGGTTTAGGGGCATTCTGATTGGGACATAACTGCTTGTTCTAGGAGTGTACTTACCCTTGGCTAGCTAGGAATGAATGTATCCGTATAGTAGTCCCTATCTAAACCATTATAGTCGTTTCCATTTTCTTTTCCATTCCTTAATTACCAGCTCACCAAAGGTAAGCCCTAAACCCTTAACCCTACAGTAGTTTCCATTTGGCTTTTTCATTTTCCCTATATAACCCCATATATCCCTATATTACCCCTTATATAACCCTATGGCGCACTCTCCAGTGCAACCGCAAGCGCCACATTAGCAAAGACCTCATGATCTAATGATATATTGGGATAATGGAAAAAAACTAGAAATTACTAGAATAGTAGGGTTTAGGGTATATTGGGGTAATATGAGCTATAGTCTACACTCCTAGTATCCCCCTTAATATAGCCCCTATAATATTCCCCTATATAATCCCCTATATAACCCCCTCTAAGGAGTTTAGACTATAGCTCATATTAGGATAATGGAAAAGAAAATGGAAATTGCTATAAATCCTAATGGTCTCAACTCCACAGAACCATCAACTCCTGCAACTCTGTCTCTTCCCTCTTTGCCTGTCAGCTCACCCGTTTTGGGTTTAGGGTTTAAGGTAAAACCTACATGGACCCATCTACCTCCAAGTGAGTAACGTTTTTTTTGGTGGTTGAACCTAGTAAGATTCTATTCCTTATATAGAATACTATACCCCAAAAGGAGGATAGAATCTTACTCTACAATGGGTACCATAATATCCCCAAACAAAATATTACTCAATTGAAGAGTATACCTTGAAATCTTATAAAGGGGGCTTAGGGTTCAGGGTTTAAGGTCAGGGCTCCTTGTATGATCTAAAATACTACTCAAGTTATCTGATGTCGTTTTAATATCACTGGCGGCCCTCCTCCTCAAGGTCCCGGCTGAGTAGCCCTTGCCAGAGCCCAGGTTGTGGGTAATGCAGCCGCCGTCCATGGTCATGAGCTGCCATTCACGTGGTTTAGTGTTTAGGGTGTAGGGCTTAGGATCTGGGGTTTGGGAGTTGGGGTTTAGGATTTGCGGTTTGGGGGAATCGCACAACTTCTTAATCAACCTAGGGCAACTGCACCTTCTCCATGGCGCAAATGTGGCCCTCTGCCAGATCATCTACATGGATGTAATCCTGGCAGAGTCCAGGATCACACTCCCTGGATCTCCCTTGCAATCTGCTGAGTCACAGCTTAGGAGGAACCCCCCACCCTGTAATTGTGGTATCATAGAAATGTAAGAGGACCCTAAAATAAACCTTATTAACAGCCGCGTTGACTCAACAAGTTGCGAATGGATCGTCAGGCGACAAATCACAAAACGCTCAGGAAAATGTTGAAACTTGGTGCGCCGGCCCGCACGCCGGTCCCATCGTGCGTGTCGTAATCATTCCTCAAAAGCACCATCGCAAAACAATGAGCCGCACAAAGCCGCAGCTTAGCATAGTTTAGGTGACAAGAGCTACATTAATCCTTCAGATTGTTTTATCTACACAGGCGCATTTTGCTTTGGATGAACTGCAAATCATGCAAGGCAACGCAAAGTACTGCAGCCAAGCCCCCAAGTCATACTGCCCAGCTCATGTAATCTCAGGTAGCACACGTATCTTCTTGGCTTGCCATTGCTGAGGTCGGTTCCCAAAGACGCTAAGGCATTCTCTTCGGCCAACTGCTACCTGGCATCAACCACATCATCATCATCATCATCACCACCATCACCATCACCATCATCGTCATCGTCATCGTCATCGTCATCATCGTCATCATCCTCACTACAGTAGCAGTAGTAGTAATAGTAAACCAGTGGGATGAGGAGGAGGAGCAGGCATGCCACCCCCTAAAAACTACACATATCTGAAACGATACCAAACGACACGTGTTGAATATTACCACGCAGGGAACGGGAGAGGGGGGAAGAGGAGGAAGGGGGAAGGAGTCACAAGTGGTGCCGTAGAGAGTTCACTTTAACCTTCAAGCCTACTCAACAGAGCACGCAACTAATCTAATTCCAAGACATGTATCTACGTCCCTTAAGATTCAAGGTCTTCCGCTGTTTTTTGAAAATCGGCAGCGACTGATGCTTGCCAATATTGACGACCCTTCCACGGTCTTGGCCTCATTTTCAGGGAAGTGTAATAGGTAAGGGGGTGGCTACTAGTAGTGGTAGTACTAGTAGTAGTACTCATAATGACGATAAATGCGTAGTAGCAGTCATGTAGTAGTCATAGAAAAACCTTTGATAAAACTAACGCAATTAATTGCATCTACTAGCTGCTGCATGACTACTTCGCCTGATGGACTTACCAGCCGGCAAAGTAACCAGCATCAAGGCCAGAAGGTGCTGATGCCTGCTGGACGTACGGCATGAGGTTGTTCGGTGGCCCGTGTGGGTTCTCTCCTATCCTGGCGCAAAACACAGAACAATCATGCAGGCACCCGGCGCGGAAATTCAAGCCTGCAGTCAAGTCAACAATTTTCTTCTGCTGTAGTGTTGGTGCTGGCCACACAGATCCTTTCCCCTAGTGTAAAACCAAGTGCGCCTCCAAAGTATACTGAGCTCCCACGTTTAGTAACCAGGCGCGTTCATCTTGGAGAGGAGGCATTTTGGGATCGAGATCGCGATTGCTGGTTCTTTGTTATACGGAATCCTAGGACTTTCCCTGACAAGCCATTGGGAAAACACTTAACATTATTCTTGGCCAAGTTTAAGTTCCTCGCGGTGATGTTCCCAAAAAGTGGGCTTCCAACCAACCCCATTTTTTCGTCGTAGGGTGGTTGAATGCAAAAGAAAACTTTACTCGTCGTAGTCGACGTCTACTTGAACCCTAAACCCTAAATCCTAAAGGCTAAAAACCACAAAACCTAAAACCATAAACCCCTAACCCAACCCTAAACCCCTAAACCCTAAAACCCTTACCCCTAAGTGGCGGTCTGCAAGTACCATTTCAGGGCAGTCAAGCAGAGCGGTCCTTCCGCTCGGGTGGGCCTGGCATGTATCTCATAGTAACAACACCAGCAATAGGAGACATAGGGGTTCAGGGTTTAGGGTTTAGGGTTAGGGGTTTAGGGGTTTAGGGTTTAGGGTTTGGGGTTTAGGGTTTAGAGCTTCAGGAATACTCATAATAATAGGAATGATGATAATAGGGTATAGGGGTTTGGCAGGTCAATCAAAACATGAACCAGCTCCAGACTCGCCAGTGCCTGGTTGCAATGTAGTCCCCCCTTAAGTAGATAGAATATGGCTTTTGGGGTATATTATAATAAGATCCCCATATACCCCATATTCTATCTATTAAGGGGGACTATAAGCTCACAAAGCTATGGAATTCCCCAAGATCATAAGGTCCCCAGACACACCAGACAAGAGAAGTGAAAAAACGAATGGATTCGCCTTGCATTGATGCGTCAACGCCCTCAGAGAACCTATAGTCTGAAAGGTGAAACTCACGCAACCCAGGATCTCTAAGACAGCGGCCCTAAATCCTAAGCCTTAAACCCTAGTAGATCGCGAGAAATTTGTGGCATGTCAATCTGCTGGGGCAGGTGAACAATTTTGCGTTTAGGGTTTAGGGTTAATGGTTTAGAGTTGTACAGGCCAGGATGCTCACGAGAGCACTGCCACCAAAATGAAGAGTTGAAAACTGTCCGCAGATTTGGCAGGAGTGCCCCCACTGGGTTGAAATAGCGCAGGATGGAGATCTCGGCGTGCCAAACTGCTGATTTCGGAGTGAGCCCCATATAGAACCCAATAGATTGTAGTCCTCAGCATAGGGACAATTATTTTCACGAAATCTAGACAAGAATATGCCAAAAACTTGAATGGGTTCGAGATATTACTCGTCAGAATTGGACAAGACAATGGAGGATGAAATGGAAACTGTGATTATGATAACACGAGTGAAATGTATAATAGTAAGTATAGGGGATGTAGGCTATAACCTGGTTAGAACTTGAGTGTTTAGGGTTTAGGCTTCGCGTTTAGGGCTTTCCTCCCCTGCTTGAAATGCTGCCAAGCAGCCGAAAAGGTGGGATTTGCGACAGCGAAGTCCCGGAGAATCTGTCAGGCTGTCTGCTTCATACTTCACTGGAGTACACGTGCTGTTCAACTAAAGAGGCCAAGTACGGCAAAGTTGAGTGCATCTGATTCCAGTGAAAACCTCCAGAAGATCACATTGCACAAGCTGGTACCTGCTCAATCATGTACTTCGTCCAGCCGTAAGGATTCGTGCCTCCGCTGGCAAGTAAGGGCAGCTCATGGCCCCACTAGGAAGCACAAGGAGGAGAGGAGCCAAAAACCCAGACATTTCTAGCCGAGGCTGTCATTCCATTTGCACAACAACTGACAACACAGCAATGCTCACTTCCTCTTCGTGCTCGCGAGCCCAGCACCCCTGGCCAGCTGGAGCTGGAAGAGCTTCAAGGTATTTGGGCCCTGAAGCCCTACTACTTGGGTCCTTGGACCCTAAACCCTAAACCGTATATATCCCCCTATAACCAATTGAGAGAAAGGTTTCAATCGATGGCTCCCAATCTCCAAGACTCCAAACCCACCTCCCGAGTCTGGACGCAAAGCTGGCACGTTCCAGTCTATGACCCTAAGCTTTATATGTCACCATTATAAACCCTATATGACTTAGGTGGATCCCCCACCCGTAGTACAACAGGACTATAAGAGAACCCTAATAAATATAGTTCCTTATATCCCTTATAGTCAGTATTGCTGGGAGGGGGTCCATCATGTGTATATATATATATATGTATATGATATATATATATACATATTTAGATATGTATACATATATATATATATATGCAACCCTATAAGCTGGGGCGTTTCAGTCCAGAAGTCGACTCCGAGCACAGCGCATCCCAAAGGCATGGTCTCATCTAGTGGTTGCTCGGCAGGCCTCAGCTCTCAGCCAAACGGCAAGAGTAAAAAGAAGACTAAGTTTAGGGTTTAGGGTTTAGGGTTAAGAGTCGAGACAAGACTAGGACGAGTAATCACAATAATAATAGTAATAGCAGTAGCACCAGTAGTAACAGAACAAAAGGAATAGTAGTAATAGAAGTACCACAAGTAGCAATACGCGTAGTCATACTAGTAGTAATACTAGTGCAATACGAATAGGAGTGGTAATACTAGTAGTAGTAATAGCTGTAGTAATACTAGTCGTTATACGAATCATAGGGATTAGGCTTTCGATTTTGAGCTGCAAGGACTCATAGCCGGTGCAGATACTTCATCAGGGTTGCAAGTACAGCAAAGGGTTCACGGTCAGACCCAAGGCTCCCCTTTGCCCAGCTGCACAAGCAGCTCAAGTTGGGGGTTCCCATAATTAGGGGTACCATTTTGGGGGTCCCCAGAATAAGGATCATAGTATTTTGGGGTCTACATTGGGGTACCCCTCTTTCGGGAAACTACCATTTGAAAAGCGCTTTCACCCTGTTGCTGCCTGTAGACCGTTGCTGAGGACGAGAAGACCACCCGCCTGCGTGGGAAACTGCTTCTCTGCGGAAACCACTTTGGCAACACTTAGATACTTTGGTGCAACTCTGCTTGTAGTGCTCAACCATGAGTGTCATAGAGACTTCTGCAGTCTGAGCACGTTTGAAACTGGCGACCACAACTGATGCTAGATTTCCGATTCGCAAGCCGGCTTGCATGCAAGTCTTAGGCTCCCAGCGTGCTCTGTGGAGTTAGGGGAAGGATTAGCTGCCCCAGGCTTGCTCTCTCACACCTGGACCTTGACTCACAAAAAGCTTAAGAGTTTAGGGTTTGTGGCTTGGGGTTTAGACCACACACCCATGCGTCTCCCTCCGTCTGCCGACTGAATGGCCCGAGGCAAGATGTGGCGCATCCCAAACCTTCTGACCTGCTACTGAGCTCGTTACCCTAAGAGTCCACGTACCCAATCATTAGCTACTTTGGGACTTTGGTAATAATAATCATAGTCCAGGTCTGGGTGAGTATGTGATTATTAGGAACTTGGACCCTTGGGGTAATACCCTGATGGAAATTAATTGCAAGAGGACTTTTCTTGTTAACCTGCGCACCGATAGCTGCACAAGGGTTCGATCCTGGACTCCACTGTCCAGGACATGTGCGACAATGCTCGATGCTCTAATCTATAAGTACAAAACATGTCGAGAGGCATTGACTGCAACACTGTTGTCGTGGCTTGGGAGGGTGTTGCAAGTGTGGGAGATAAAGACCGTAACAAAGGTCATACTAAGACATCTCTGTGCAAAGCTGCTAACCCTAAACCCTAAACCCTAAACCGCATCACTCCAGCACGTCACCCAGCGCAGCCAGCAGAGATCGCAAATGGCGTCGCTTCTCCTGCCAAGCTATGAAGTTTAGGGTTTAGGGTTTAGGGTTGTATGGATGGCAAACTTCAACGGATTAAGCTGAGGGTTATATAGGGGTTATATAAGGATTATAGGGTATATATTGGGGCTATATGGGGATAATGGAAAAGAAAATGGAAACTACTATATTGAGATGAATTGTGCAGCTTGACGTTAGGGTTTAGGGATATTATCCCCCTATAATGGAGAATCCAATGGAAAAGAAAATGGAAAATGAAATGGAAACTGGGGGAATATAGGGATTTAATGCGGAGTCAGCCGTTGTTGCAACAGGGTCATGATGATGGTAGTGATCACTGCATTAAGTGGAGAGAACCTAATTACCTCCCCTAGTCGTTAAACCCCGCACACCTCTGACGGTAAATATCCTTCTGGTATATACTGGTACAATATTGGGGCCCTCCATGATTAGGAGGGTGGTGGTGGGTTGTTCTTAGGAAAGAGCATTGGAAACCCCAATCAAATGAGCTATAGTCTAAACTCCTTTAAGGGCGTTATTTAGGAGATTATATAGGGGCGGTATTACAGGAGCTATTCACGGGGATACTAGGAGTTTAGACCATAGCTTAAATGGCGAATTCGCAGACCTACAGGAGCAAGAGCGACCCCCTCCAAAACCAGCAAGGTAGAGAGTTTCTGCCACGACTGCAGACTTACAGTCCCCCTTAAGTAGCTAGAATATGGGGTATATCGGGATCTCATTATAACATACCCATAGCCATAGTCTATCTACTTTAAGGGGACTATACTCTGACCTCTTCTAGCAAGGAATGAGATGGTGTATGCTTATCGTCGTCCCTGTAGAGCCGCAAAAAACGTATTGGTTCTCCCTTTCTTTTCGATTTCTCTCTGCTAACCAGAACTAAGTTCTATAAGCCACACAGGTTTAGGGTTTTGGCTTTAGGGTTTGGGGCTTAGGGTTTATGTAGGGTTTACGTAGGGTTTACATAGGGTTTACGTAGGGTTTAGGGATAAGTAAGGCCGGATAAGGCCCACTTTCCATTTCATTGTCCATCTTCTTTTCCATTCGATTCGCAAGTATCGGCTAAGATCCCCATATGAGCTATAGTCTACACTCCTAGTATCCCCCTTAATAACCTCGATAATACTCCCCTAGATGATCCCTTGTCCAACCCCCTTTAAGGAGTTTAGATTATGGCTCATATAACCCCTATACAATCCCTATATAACCCGATATAACCCCCCTATAACCCCTTATATAACCCCTATATAACCACTATATAACCACTATACAATCTCTGAAGGATTAGCTGCAGCCTTTCAATCTCGCTGCTCGATGGCTTTCTGCAGATGTAGCGTCTAAGTATGACATCAAGGAACGTGATCGGACTTCTTTACCCCTAGACCCCGAAAGCTATATGTGTACCTTTTTATTTATATATATATATACATATATAGGTATATGTACCCCCCTCAACTAGTATCCGCGTGATTTTGCATCGGCTCTTTCCATTAGATTTTCCATTCTCTACCCATTGGCTCCTTCTGGTCTTCCAGATTTTTCCAGTCGCTCTCCCTGACCGTCGCGACCCGCAGCCCCTTCTTTGCAAGGATCCGTCTCCTGGCCGTTGCATTGGTGAAGGGTGCAATGGTCACTCATGTGGCAAAGTTGTTTCTAATACAGGGGAGTACGAGAAGCTTCGCACTTCCAAGATTCCCATGAGGGTTTAGGGTTTAGGGTTGGGTCTAGGGTTTAGGGCCTAAACCCTAAACCCGCAACAACAGTCCAAGAAAGCATCGCTGACCCCACAGCGAAGTACCGCCACAGGCAACACCTCTGCAACTACCTCTGCCATCACGGTTTAGGGTTTAGGGTTTAGGGTTCAGGGTAATCCCTGCGACCCTCGGCGTTGGCCATCACCATCACAACACAAGATCTAATCTCCTCCCCCTAATATTAAACCCCCCCACCCCCCTGAAATTAAATACGACGGTGATGTGGGATATTGTAAAATACTGGGGAATACTTAGCAGGGGGTGAGGGGTTTAATATTAGGGGGAGTGGATCTAGATAAAATGTGAACCAGATCTGGGCTGCAAGAGTACTGTAAAAGCCAAGTCGGGACACAAGTCTTCGACCTGAAATACCAGAATGGCCGGATCTTTCCTCAAAACTTCGCAATTGAACTTACTGCTTCTCAGTAGGGAATATGGGAATCTATTATGCAGGGATTATACGAGCCCTGGACTAAATTTGTAGTATATGCCTTCGTAGGTCCCCCCCCCCAAAACCCTATGTAGTCCCTTATAGGTCCCCCCCAACCTAAGTTTAGTCCGTAGCTCATACAGAGATTGTGTTCCCTTATTCCCTGCTAAGAAACCAGGAAGTTGAAAGTTTTGAGGTTAGGCAGGGAAACAGAGGCAGGTCGACGGCCAAGTGCAGGATCTCGTTGTATATACAGTTATATTGGGATAGAGACATGAAATGGAAGCCACTATATATGCATATATACACATAGGATTACATAGGGATTGTATACGGTTATGACTCCCAATAATGGAGAATGACATTTAAAAGGAAATGAAATGGAAACGATGGCTAAAGTAGGCATACTGTATCACATCATTCACATCTATCATTAGCCTCCATGAGCCAAGCACGCAAATCAAAAACCCTTACTGCTGTGCTTTGTGAGCTTATAGTCCCCCTTACGTAGATAGAGTATGGGGTATATGGGGATCTTACTATAATATACCCCCAAAGCCATATTCTATCTACCTAAGGGGGACTATATGCAATGCAAGGTTCCTTATCTACCCCTTACGGACCCTTGCAGCGACAGGACAAACTGCAATGTTTCAGAACCTCTCAGAACAACGGAAAAGATTCGTGAGCGGGATTATAGGGACTATATAGGGGTTAAGGGATTATAAAGGAGGTTATGTTGGGGTTATATAGGGAGAATGGACAAGAAAACGGAAAATACTGTAACTGGGTTTAGGGTTTTAGGCCAGAATAGCTACCAAATGCCGAGTTCAGAATCAGAATTCCTTACTGGTATGCTTTGGGAATTTCAGAAGACCATCGTTTAGTTCGTTCACCCCGTACGGAACCTTCCCAGCACAGGGCAACTTGCAATCATCAAAAAGGCTCTATAAAACCAGCAAAAGGCCGTGAGCCAACTGCAGAATCCAATTCGGACTGATCAACCATGATCTGGGGGGTCTCATTTCTTATTCTATGAGGGAGTCGAATCAGAAGCACAGATTCGCCTTGAGCGCTAGTGCTAACTTGCTTGAAAACTCATTGATTTCATCATGCTTCCTCTGCTGACAGAGGCGTAGCACAGCTTGCGCTTGGAGAGCAATTAAAGGCTGTACTTGCAGCCTATCTGGGTCCCAAAAATAGGGCAACTCCAATATAGGCCCCAAAATACTGGAATCCATGTTCTGGGAACCCCCCAAAAAGGTACCCCTAATTCTAGGGAAACCCCATTTCAGGCCAAGCGACTCAGGTCTGATAAAATTTGGCGCAAGGAATCTAATGCCACCTCTATCTGTGCGTGGTCATAAGAAACTCGTAAAGGGGAAGAACAGGCAGGTGCTACATCAAAGCTCTGAAGGTAACCTCACTGGCTCTTAGTAGGGAAGAAGGGAATTGAATCCCCAAAAAAGTCCCTGTAGAATCTATGACCTTGTTCCCTAGTAAAATTCAGCAGGGTAAACTGCACATCTTTTTCCTTCCTCGTGTTTGCATTCGGCAAGGCCAAGCTCAAAGCTCCAAGGGCACCTGTGTGGAGACAAGATCCTGCAGGGACACGTAGCTATCAATATCAGCCATCAGCAGTTGAGGCTTTACCTCCTTCCACCCTGCCACGCGCTGCATCAGCTCTTCGGAACCTGGACGGGTCTGCGAATCGGAAACAGCTCTGAACGCCTGCCATAGGTAGCATAGAGTGTCCTGGCGGCGAACTCGCCGGGAGAAGTGCTCAAAGCCTCGAGTGGCTATGGCTTCGGCTTCTTGCGGGTGTTCCTCCAGCCAAATCAATTTTGGGACCAAGTCCGACAGGCCCTGACTAACGGGCACATAGTGCACCCAAGGAGTCAACCATTCCAAGATTACTTCACGATCGGCACTTTCCTGCATCAGGATCAAAGATCCTGTGGCTAGCATCTCTGCCAAACGCCAAGCCGAGAGTACGGCAGCGACATTGATCAGGTACCGGTAGCGTGGCATTACCTGTAGTCTCCTTAGACCTATAATCAAAATCATATGTTCAATAGTAAGCCCTAAACCCTAAACCTATAATAAAAAATGAAAATAATGCCTAAGGAGACTACAGTTACTGCTCTCAGCTTCTGAAACTGAACCAATCCACCCAGCTCGTGGACCAGTTGTTTTGCGTGTGCTTTGCTGATTCTCCTGTACATCTCTCGATCCTTTTGCTGGAAGCCGGCTAATAAAGATCATAGTTAGGGTTTTGGTTTGGGTTTAGGGTTTAGGGTTTAGCGTGAAATGAGGATAGAAGATTACTCTGCGATAAATGGGACATAGACTACCACACCCCCATGAAAAATACGATTCACTTTCGCAAGCTTGTAACCCTCAATCCTAAAGCCCTAAAGCCGTAAATCCTAAAAGTCTAAAAACCTAAAGCCCTAAACTTTAAACCCTAAAGCCTCAACCCTAAACCTTTAAAAAACTTCAAACCCTGAAACCTGAAAGTCCTAAACCTGAAGCGGAACAAGGAACCACTTTGGTGATGCCCACATCAAAAAGCTCAGGATGGTCTTTGGCCATCTTCAGGAGACGAATGCCTGGGTTGCTGTTACGGGACTTTCTGGAAGTTACCATAATACTAATAGTAATACTAATAATAATAATACGAGTAATAATACTAATACGAATACTAGTAATAATACTACTCATAATACTAAAAATATGCGAATCATTGTAATATTAATAATAATGACACTAATAATAATGAATAGTATCAAAAATGGGTTTGGGGAAGCCATACTAATTACTGTATAATTATACATAGACATACCCCGTTATGGTGTATTAATTCAGATTTCTGAAGAGCAACCCGGATGCGGGGCAGTGTCTGCATGTCTTCGGGCAAGAAGTTGTCAGGCGCGCTGAGCGAACCCCTCCAGAAAGCTTTGGGCATCTTGTCGGCCCAAGGCACATGATACTTTTCGTGTCCTGTCTTAGCGTCTCCCAAGAGGTTGCGAACGTACGCTTTGAGATGGTACGGATTCGGCAGCGGAATCGTCCAGTGCCCAGCACTCCGCACCCAGTGGAAATGCGGAATTGGGCTCCAATAGACCTTGTCAACAAAAGGCTGATCTCCGGTGTTGAAAAGGAAAGCCATGTCAGGAAGCTCTCGCGCGACTTCGGCCACCAGGGACAACAGCACCTCTAAGTCCGAAACTTGCCCCACCAGTGGGGAGCTTTCGCAGTCGCTTTTAGAGCAGCATTGGTAAAGCACCTTACTGGTGCTTAAGGGAGAGTGGGGGAGTGGATCCTTATAACTATCCTCCTCTAACCCCCATAATACATACCCCTGTGATAATCCCAATGTTCACTCTCCCTCTCCCCCTAAAGCACCAGTAAGGCACCCGACCCTCATGGACCACCCCGATGAAGGACTGCGCTATGGAGCCGGTCACCATCTCACAAACATTGAAAAATGACTGCCACGGCATCTTGTGATCCCACCACCTCGGTCCCCAATGATTCCCCAAGCCTCCCCCGATTTCACTTTACTTTCAAAGCCATTCAGAAAAAGCTTACTTCATATACCCGAATCTCTATAAACTACCACAGTGATCTCAGTTTCCATTTAGTTGTCCAGCTTCTTTTCCATTTGATTCTTCGTTGGGGGTAGCATCCCTACATTACCCTTTCAAGGGACCAAGGACGTCCATTTAATTTTCCATGGTCTTATCCATTAAATCGACTGTAATTGGGTACTATTGTTACGTATCCATATAGAACCTCACGTAACGTTCACGGAACCCTATGTAACTGGTAACCCTTGTAAAACCTACATCGCCCCTTGCAGCATCTAAAATCTTGCATCCGAGACGCGGCTCGAAGCTCTTGGCTAGGCCCGGCTCCTCCTCCTCGCAGCCCAAATGGCAGGCCAATCCCTGTGCACCTGAAACACTAATTTGATGATAGGGGTTATATATGTGTTACATAGGGTTATATAGGGGATTTTAAGGTTTTTAAAACACCCCTTCGCGCCTTTTCTGCGCAAGCCAGATTGTCAGGGGAGCCAGTGAGGTGGGGAGTCGGCTTACAAGACACGGCTTTAGGGCTAGGGTAATCCGACGAAATAATATCACCCCCCCCCCCTCCCCCACCCCCCTGCACAGTGAATCCCCTCAATACAATAGCACTAGAGATTAAGGTGAAGATTTGTTCTTAGCGTTGAAACATTAACCCTAAACCCTACATCCGAATCCCTAAGCCGTAAACCTGTGAACATCTGCGAACTACACTCCCCCAAACTAACATGGGAACCCATATGGCTCCATTTTTAGAGGGACTGTAGTCTTTCTAGGGCCCTTTTTGGGATCCCTAAACCCTAAACCCTCAACCCCTAAACCCCTAAACCCCTAAACCCCTAATGTTAGTTTCCCGGGAGTGTAAGTCTTTGACCAAGGGGCCAGACTGGCAGTCGGCCAGCACCTTGGAGAGGTTCTGGTACGATGATTGCCTTACTGGGGAGCTAGCAGGGAATAAGGGAGTACATATCATATTAGGGTTTAGGGTTTAGGGTTTAAGGTTTAAGGTCTAGGGTTTAGGGTTTAGGGGATTATATAGGGACAATGGAAAATAAATTGGAAACTGCTACATTATGATCGGGTATACATTGGGGGGTTAGTAGGCAATGGGGGAGGTATGTCATATAGGGATTATGTAGGGATTAGATTCCCTCATTCCCTTCCAACCTAAACCCTAAACCCTTCATATCATACATATACATATACACACCCTTATTCCCTACTAACCCTGAACCCTAAGCCCTATGTATTATATATATATATGTACCCTTGTTCCCTACCTAAATCCTAAACCCTACATTATATATATATATGCACCCTTATTCCCTGTTAACCCTCAGTAAGTTGCAAGGTTTGGCCTTCCAGGAGTCCTGAAAGGCTTTGTAAAGCCATCTCGTAAGGACAGGCCCCTGGTGGCTGCAAGCTTCCATGTAGCCACGCGGTTTAGGGTGAAGGGTCTGGGGTTTAAGATTGAGGGTTTAGGCAAAGACTTGCAATGAGGGTTTAGGGTTTAGTGCGAAGTAGTCGAATCATGAGGCTTCCATGGGCATTGCCTGCGGGGTTTGAATGACTCCTTTGAGCCAAACGGCCCCGGCAGACTAATCAAAACGAAATAGAGTATATATGTAATATTAATATAAATAGCGATAGTAATAGTAATAGAATTAGTAATAGTAATAGTCATAATAGAAATAACAATATATATATATATCGGTTCCCGAGAGATGCGTAAATCCATATGCACGCGAAGCCTGAAAGCCACAGCACCATCCACCAGCGGGCCAGCGGTCTCGTCCTGAAGCCCACATGCACTAAAACGCAGCACCTACAGAAAGCAAGCACTTTCAATCAGGTTCTAGGTGGGGGTTTCCCAAAATTAGGGGTACCATTTTGGGTGTCCCTATAATGAGGGCTATAGTATTTTGGGGTCTATATTGGGGTCCTCTTATTTTGGTAAGCTACCGGGTCAGAATGAACAGAATGAAATTACAAAACGCTCCATCAGTACGGTGGATACGAAAAATCCTGCATGACCCTAAGTACCTCATACCTTGGGAATAATGGTATTATAGTATATTAGGGTCATGCAGGATTTTTTGTATCATCAGTAGCAGGTCCTGATCAATGGGGCGAATTAAGGACAAAGCGCCATCGATGTCAATGTGGACGTATCCTCGATGCAGCGGCTTTCTGGACGACAAAGGGTTTAGGGTTTTGGGTTTAGGGGTTTAGGGTTTAGGGGTTTAGGGTTTAGGGGTTTAGGGTTTAGGGGTTTAGGGTTTAGGTGCACTTCCAACAGGAGTCAATGCATGACGGCTGAAAAGATAAGTCGGAGATAGGCGTTCTTGGCATGACATCACGTTTCTGAGCACCTCATTGGAATCTAACAGCATTGTGTGTCACATAAAACCAGAGCCCTTTCGATCAAATCATGCCCAGGCATGATGCGCACACATGTCACCACTCTCCAGGTTTCATGAAAGCACCGCAAGAAACCGAGATCACTTGAGGCCAGCGCCATCTGTGGAGGAGCGCTTTCTCAACGCTGCTACGTCCTCAGCTCACCGTACCATGCCCGGCCGAAACACTTTCCAAGCAGTTTGTGCTTTGGCAGGGTGCCAATGTGGGTCTGCACCGTTTGGCTTTTGGACATGCTTTCAATCTGAAGGTTCGCGCCACGACCAGGTAGAACCTGATAAGCTCACCGCTGGTGGCATTTGTTTGTTGCATGCGCAAACCGCATTTGGGCAGCAGACAAGTTGCCGAACTTTCCCCGACTGCATGCCAACAGCACAAACCACAACTTCATACTGTAAACCCTTTACACCCCACAATGTCAATGAAAAAGCCTGAACCCATAAGCCCAGTTTTCATTCATGTTCCATGTTCTTTTCCATTGTCTTCTCCATTGGTCCTATATACTGCTACATATCCCTTAGCCCTATATACCCCTACATATCTCCTAGTCCTATATACCCCTACACATTCCTTAGTCCTATATGCTCCCACAAATCCCCAAAAATCACACACCAGTCGAGGAAATCGATGCGGAGCTTTCAACCCCTAAATATGTCAGTGTGTCAGTGGTTCAGTGGATGGAGGCAATCCTGCACCACTGAGGAACCTCACGATATGGTATCTTTTAGGTATTGTGTGTATAAAGTGGTGCGAGATTGCCTCCACCCGCAGTATGTCAACGTACTGTGTCTGCAATGTCCTCTCTGCGTCTTTCCTTAACAACTCCTTGCCAAGTCTGAGCGACAGACAGAAAGAAGTCCCAAACTGGTGCGGTGATTTGACTGAACCTTACGTCCAGGGTCAGCCATTGCACTATGCACAGACCTGGCTTTTGGGCTGTGATTTGGGGGGTTTCCCAAAATTAGGGGTACCATTTTGGGGTCCTAATAATAAGGACTATAGTATATTGGGGTCTATATTGGGGTCCCCTCATTTTGGGAAACTACCATTTGCCTACTCAATATAATATAACCCTAATATAACCCCAATATATACCCTATTATAATATAGTAGTTTCCATTTTCTTTTCCATTATCCGTATGTGATTTGCCAGCAGCTTAGGTCAACACATGGCCCTCTAGAAGGCCCTTCACAGCAGCAGAAATGTCTGAACGCACCTTCTCAGAGCATCGTCGGCAATCCCGACGATTCTCCTTGTTCCGCCAAAACAAACGCATAGGGTTTAGGGTTTAGGGTGTAGGGTTTAGGGTTTAGGGTTTAGGGCAACAGACCTTTTGGAATGGAACGTCTCACAGCCCCTGCAATCTGCCGTCCCCAATATACCCCATATTCTATACCATGCATAACCCATCTATTGTAGTTTGCATTTTCTTTTCCATTATTCCTATAAGGCCCTGCAATATACCCGCTGTACTGGTATTGAGTTATGTTGGGGTTATATTGGGATAATGGAAAATAAAATGGCAACTATAGGGATGATAGGGTATACATTGGGGTCAGTCCTTCTACCCTATATAACCCATTACAGTGGATTCCATTTCTGTATGCCCAATAATATACCCTAAACCCTAAACCCTAAACGCTACCCTAGACCCTAAACCCTAAACCGGTCCTTATAGTGTTCCAGCAGCTTGCTGGCCGCCTTGTCATCTATTCTGAAGGAAGCATAGCGATCCTTGTGCTCTGCCCTTAGATGGCAGCCGTTGGTATCAAGCAGACAATAGTAACTCAATAATAAACATAATAATAGTAATAATAATAATCGTAATAAGTAACTAATAATAGTAATACTAGCAATAATAGTAATAGTGATAAGTAATACTGATAATAATCTTACTTACTTGCTTTGTTGCTTACAATTGGGAGTCTCTTGCACAATACAGGCGCAAGGCGTTGAGGTACTTCGAACACAGCTCTGCACCAACTCAACCCTGCACCAACCCCTCGTTCTTCACAACTTGGATCTACAGACGTACACGTAAAACAAAAAGCCGAGGGGCTCCAAAGAAAGGTGGATCTCGTAGAATTGGCACAAAGCGTCTGCCGTGACCTTCGGCGTGTCCTGCAGCACCTGGACTGTGAGCTGCATCAGCTCCGGGTGGTAGTGCTCCAGCACGCAGAAGCACCAGCACAACTCCACCAGGTCCTCACAGCGGAAGCCAGAGTTGCTTTTTGACCAGCGCCCGACAAGATCATCGCCTACAGCCTGGCAGAAAGCCTCACTCTTCACCCCGCAGCGGGCAAGGGAGCGTGTACAGCGCATCACCTCAGCAGGCCGGAGCTCTCGTACGCGAGGGGCCACTGCTGAGGCTGCAGAGGTGAAGAGCTCTGCATGCACAAGGCGAACTTCTGAGAGAATCGTCAGAAGCGAGGTAAGCTCCTTGGGACCGAAGGTCTTGTGCCGTGCCTGGGCTGACTTCCCAACAGACACGAAGAACTTGTGGTCCGAGCACCCCAGCGACACAAGCCCGGCCAAGCAAGTGTTGAGCTCGTGAGGAGCCAGTTCCATGAGCCGAGTGGGCACTTCTGCGGTGGCGACAGCCAAGAAGTCGCGGCTGTTGTCGATGAAGCGCTGGCGGCCCTCTGCCGACCAATACAAGAACGCACTCATAATGTGGGCAATCTGCGGGCTTGTTGCTGATTTCAGCTTGTGTCCAAGCATGCTGCCCAGCTCTGTGTAAAAGTCTCGAGGGTAGGAATGAGCCTTTGCTTCCATCAAATGGAGCAGCTCTGCTAGCTGTTCCGCACTCATCTGCGCAAATTTCTTGAGGAACTCCTTCGCGGCCTCCTCAACCTCGCTGCGGCTGCTTGCAGTCCTCACGTTCTCCTGCAGAGGCTCCCAGTCATCGTCAGCAAGACCTGAGTGCGCCCCCATCTTCTGCAAGGGAGTTGCTTGGACGAAAGGCAGTTGGCCGCCAAAATTGGGAGCAGGACCCGTAGCTGATAGGGCCTGCTTCGCACCCGCAACATTTCCTTGCAGTCGGGCCAGCATTTTCTGAACGGAATCATTGTCCCTTTGCGCAGGTGCAGGTGAGGCTGCTTGCAAAGTGAAGCCTGAGAAGCCCATGGACTTCTTTGGCTGAGCCGGCTGAGCTGGCTGTAGAGGCAGTGATGGCCTAATATCTGGCACGGTGATGGGCGGTGCTGGAGCCTGCCCAGCAGCGAGCCGCTTCAGCGCCTCGAGATCATACGCTGGGGGCGGTGGCCCTTGGCCCACAGGTGGCGGTGGCGGAGGTGGAGCGCCAGGGCCTACGGCAGACGGCAGAGGGGCTGTGCCGAGAGGTGCCACTGGTGCAGGGATCACCTGCGGAGCCGGTGGTGCTTGCGCGGCCTGCGCCGCCTGAGCGGCCTGTGCCGCTTGAGCGGCTTGTGCTGCCTGTGCTGCCTGTGCTGCCTGTGCTGCTTGCGCTGCTTGAGCGGCTTGGGCAGCCTGTGCAGCTTGTGCTTGAGCCTGCGCCTGAGCAGCTTGGGCCGCTTGGGCCGCAGCTGCTTGCTGTGCAGCTTGTGCACTCTTCGCAGCTTGTGCTGCCTTGGCCGCCTGCGCTGCCTGCGCTGCTTGGGCTGCTTGCGCTTCTTGCTGGGCCTGGGCTTGTGCCGCTGCTGCCTGCGCAGCTGCTGCCTGCAACCATGACTCAAGTCCAGGGTTCACAACAAGTTTGAACGCGAACTCATTCACCGTCCATATTAGCAACAGATCACAAGGGCATCTGCATTAGCCACACACATGCCTCGGCGGCCAGTTTCTCCTGCACTTCTCTTTCCTGAGCGTCCTTCTCCTCCTGCTCAGCGTTCTTCGCAGCCTTGAACGTGCGGATGCTTTGAGGTGAAGGTGCAACACGCTGGGAGCACGCAGTTGGAGACTTGATTGAAATATTCCATGGCAGATGCTTCCTCGTTCTGGCTCTAGAACATCCACCTTGACTTATTGCAAGCAACCCATCTGCTCTTGTGTAGCTGCGAAGGCAATTCCATCCCAAAAACCACACACCTGAAGCATCTCCAGATGACATGAGCAAGCTCGCTGGGCTGCATAGACCCGTAACCCCATAGTAACAATAGTAATACTAGCTGTCCTAAGAGTAGTAGCAGTAGTAGTAATAATTACAATAATAAGAACTGCAATCATAGTAACGATAGTAAGAATTGTTACAATCGTAACAATCATTCCTCCTTCGATGGCCTGCTCCGCCAGCTTCTTCAAAGCATCCTTGTCAAAGGCAGCCGCCTTTGGAGGGGCTTCCTGGCAGGCAGCAGATTCACCAGTTCAGCCCTCTCCTGCCCTTGATCCGCTAGCAAGTATACCCTTAGATAAGAGCGGCACAAGTCAGCTGGGAATACGACAAGCTGGTTCCACGGGCCTCAAAAACTTGGGAAAGGCAACCGCCTTCAATCCCCCACGCATCAAGCATCCCTGGATGGTACGTAGAGAAGTCCATCCGTTGAGGAGACTTCTCCCAGGCGTAGCCGCGACGAACGGAGCGGACTAGCATGCGCCCCCCCAACAGAACCAGCTTGCAAAACCTTTTGTGATGGGAGCCCCTTTCCACCATTGTTTCTAGTCAACCCTTTGTCCCATACACCCATGAAGCTGAGCACATTTCCAAGTTGAAGCGTCTGGACCTCTGGCCTGCGGAACCGCGCCAGATTGCGTCTCATCCACGCCTTGCCGGGATGCCAAGGGGCATACCCTCACATCAAATAGGCTAGGCCGGCATTCAATAGCTGGTGCAAAGGTGAAATCCAGCTCCCATCCTCCAGATCTCCACTCTAATATAGTAGTTTCCTTTTCCTTTTCCATTATCCCCATATGACCCCAATAATATACCTTATAATCCCTATATACTCCCTATAATCCCATGTTTGTTTGTTTGTTGAAATCGAAGCTTGCTGCTCACAGGCTCCGCCTCCCTTTGCAGCGACTGTGCCATACTGCGACCACCAACGTGCGTAGTACCTGTCAGCAGGGTATGACTGGGTTGCTGTTAAGG